AATCTTTATTTTTATTTTCTACAATTTTTTTTAAAAGAGAATTTTAGTATCTACCCTCGAAGTTTGGAGGATTTACAGAGAGCAATATTTTCTTCTTAATTTATGGCTGTTCAGAGTGAAAACACACCTCGAACGTGTTTTCTTTTTTAAATGATATTTTCTGCAAATAATAGCCATAAGTGAGTTTATAGTAAATAGGTATGTGAATTATGCATTCTGTCTACAGGAAGTCACTGATGCCGCGCCACTAGCTGCCTGTGCCTGTTGTCGAAGAAGTCGGGATGGCGATCACAAAATGTCTGATCGTTGTGATACTCCTGATGTTGGAAATCGATCGAATTACCCAAGGACAGCTGGTTCGACTAGGTGAGAAGTGATAATCGTGTGAAGCTTGAACACGACATAAACGTGTTTCTTGGCACGAGCGAATTTTTCTTATAGATTTTATCGCACCTTGATTTTACCGACCATTAAGCCGTGTATTCTGATTATTTCGAGTAGTTAGACAAATCAATTTGGAGGTAGTTGTATTGTCTGAGTATAGTGTTGTTGCCTTTTTCACGTAATTCACATTTTCCGAATTTTCAAATATTAAAATTTGTAAATATTCGAACTTTCAAGTATTTAAATTTTCAAATATTTGAATCTCCGTATTCCCAATTTTTTAAATATTCGAATCTCCATATTCCCAGTTTTTCAATCATTCGAATCTCCATATTCCCAGTTTTTCAAGCATTCGAATCTCCATATTCCCAATTTTTCAAATATTCGAATCTCCACATTCCCAATTTTTCAAGCATTCAAATCTCCACATTCCCAATTTTTCAAACATTCGAATCTCCACATTCCCAATTTTTCAATCATTCGAATCTCCATATTCGCAGTTTTTCCATCTTTGAGCCGAGAAAATTTCATTCTTCGCATAGTTCGATAACCCTAAAAACGAGTCTCTCAAACCGAACCCTGTCTATTTCAAGAAGATACCACCCCCTTCCGCCACGAGAAAAGAGAGCACCAGAAGCAAAGTACGAAGAGAAAAATTGCTAGCATTCCCAATTTTTCAAGCATTCAAATCTCCACATTTCCAATTCTTGAAACATTCGAATCTTCATGTTCCCAATTTTTTAGACATTCGAATTTCCACATTCCCAATTTTTCAAGCATTCGAATCTCCACATTCCCAATTTTTCAAATATTCGAATCTCCATATTCCCAATTTTTCAGACATTCGAATTTCCACATTCCCAAATTTTCAAGCATTCGTATCTCCACATTCCCAATTTTTCAAATATTCGAATCTCCACATTCCCAATTTTTCAAGCATTCAAATCTCCACATTCCCAATTTTTCAAACATTCGAATCTCCACATTCCCAATTTTTCAATCATTCGAATCTCCATATTCGCAGTTTTTCCATCTTTGAGCCGAGAAAATTTCATTCTTCGCATAGTTCGATAACCCTAAAAACGAGTCTCTCAAACCGAACCCTGTCTATTTCAAGAAGATACCACCCCCTTCCGCCACGAGAAAAGAGAGCACCAGAAGCAAAGTACGAAGAGAAAAATTGCTAGAATCGCGGGGATAGCGATCGTCGTCGCGATTCTTTCGCGGATGAAAGCGAAAACTGCTAAAAATACGCGTAAACCAAGTTACAGGATCCGTTTTCGGTGGCCACGCGATTAAGTATAGCGGTCGAATGTCTACTTTCGTTCTCTCGTCTTCTCTTCTTCCTCGTCTCTTCTCAGCTGTTAAATTTCTCTTCAGCCAGAAAACTCTCGTGTAACGCAAACAAATGGAAAAGGAAGAGCACGATTCGACCGCTTCTCTCTCGTTCGAGCAAAGTATAGATTTGTAAAGGAAAGCTTCGCGATATTTTCGTACGAGCCAAAAAAAAAGAAAAAAGAAAACGAAAAAAAAAAGAACGTGTAGAAATAAAAATAAAAATCGTGTAACGAGTTAGAAAAAACAAGCACATGGATGAAGTGTGTGAGGAGAAGAAAGATGGAGAAAGCGGAGCTTTCCTTGGAAAGAAGAAGATTGGAGGATAATAAAAGATGACGGGGCATAATCGTAAGAAAGACTATCGTACAGCTTCTACTCGCGAGGATATTTTTAATTTCGCCCCTTTTGCCAGGAGGAAGCATCTTTTTTCCTCGAGGCGATCTTTGATGATGGAAGGAAATATGCGTGAAATGCCGTGGAAAATCCGAGGAAGCTCGAGCTTCTGTTAATTCACGGAATGCGACGTCTTTAGCTTCGTTTCGAATTGTTTACGATCCGTAGATTTCGGGCGATCGAAATAAATGTTCTCATCCTGGGTAGCTTAAATTTAGAATTGTATTTTTTCTGTCTTTTTTATTTTGGTTTGACGAATTTTCGAAAATGATCATTCTTGCATTTTTTGTTGTTTTATATTTAAATTCTGACGTGTAAAATGTTCATATGAATGTACAGAAGTTCGTTAATTTGAATACTTGAATTGAACATTGAATTTATTCATTTGAGTAGTCGAATTGAACATTGAATTCTTGAATTCGAATACTTGAATTAGACATTGAATTCTTAAATTCGAATACTTCAATTGAACATTGAATTCGTTCATTTGAGTAGTCGAATTGAACGTTGAATTCGTTCGTTTGAATACCTCAATTGAACATTGAATTCGTTCATTTGAGTAGTCGAATTGAACGTTGAATTCATTCATTTAATTAGTCGAATTGAACATTGAATTCGTTCGTTCGAATACTTTGGGTAGCTTAAATTTAGAATTGTATTTTTTCTGTCTTTTTTATTTTGGTTTGACGAATTTTCGAAAATGATCATTCTTGCATTTTTTGTTGTTTTATATTTAAATTCTGACGTGTAAAATGTTCATATGAATGTACAGAAGTTCGTTAATTTGAATACTTGAATTGAACATTGAATTTATTCATTTGAGTAGTCGAATTGAACATTGAATTCTTGAATTTGAATACTTGAATTAGACATTGAATTCTTAAATTCGAATACTTCAATTGAACATTGAATTCATTCATTTGAGTAGTCGAATTGAACGTTGAATTCGTTCGTTTGAATACTTCAATTGAACATTGAATTCGTTCATTTGAGTAGTCGAATTGAACGTTGAATTCGTTCGTTTGAATACCTCAATTGAACATTGAATTCATTCATTTGAGTAGTCGAATTGAACGTTGAATTCATTCATTTAATTAGTCGAATTGAACATTGAATTCGTTCGTTCGAATACTTTAATTGAACATTGAATTTATTAATTCAAATACTTGAATTAGACACTGAATTCTTTAATTCGAATACTTGAATTGAACATTGAATTCATTCATTTGAGTAGTCCAATTGGACACTGAATTCTTTAATCAGAATACTTGATTTGAGCATTGAATGTTTTAATTCGAGCACTTGAATTAAATCTCTTAAATTTAGATGTACAAATTGAAATCTGCAAGCTTCAATTTTTTATTCGAATTTTTTAATCTAAACATTCAAATCTGAATTAGTTTGAATCTTTCCATTACGAAAAGTCGGAGTACATTTCTCTGCGTTACACCAAACCTCTAAAAAGATCGAAAAAGATTCCCAGAACAAAGGCTGAAAACAACCGCTAATGAAGATGTTGAAAAATTCTTTTTAAAAACGCCGAAAGAGAAAACAAAAGGTAGCGAAAACACAGAAAACTAGCATCATTTCGTGTATTTCTTTCAACGATACCTCTTTCAGCTGCTCGTTTCTCCGTCGTCGAGCTTTTTCCAATCGTCGTTGCTCGGTGAAAGACAACGGGAACTGTTGGCAAGCTACGCGATGGAATTTCGAGAAATCGACACGTTGAAACGGAGCCTATAAGGGGGTCCTTTGTTCACCTCGAATCTTGGCCTTTTTCCAGTCACGTAATGTCACGCCGAAGAATCGGTGTTACAATTTAATTGGTCAGCGTGTTCCGTACAGCTGTACCTCGAGATCGTGTTTCGTTTTCCTATGAATTTAACCCTTTGAAACCTGAGCGATTCTTCCTTCACTTTCGTTTGGAAGTGAGTACCATGGAGATGAAAATCACTCCACGGAGTTTTGTTACTTACAATTTTTATATGTAGATTAATTTGAATATCGAAGGGTTAAAAGTGTGTCGGTATGAATTTAA